GTAGTAATAAAAATATAACTTGACATACGTATTTATAAATAATTTATATTCAAATTACATCATTTCTATGACCAAGGGCAGCATATGGGCAACGTTGGCCACCACCTATGCCTCGCGGTCCGAAAGGCCTCGCACTTTGCGTTTATGCATTACTTAAAAGCTGCAAATGTGACGAAAAAATTTTACTCATCATAAAACGATAAATAGTTTGTCAAATTTTTATTCATAAAAATGCAGTTTCAACTGCTTTTTATTTTATAAAATCCGTTTTCTTGTGCCATTAGAGGGCCTTTTAAACAATAAGTAGTCTGTTAGCACTGGTCAATAGTAGTCCAAATTCAATACGAACGTTTGTTTCTTGAAAATTTGATCACGATTTAAATACAGTATTTATTTTTAATATTACCGATTTGTCATCAAAAAGAAAACATGCTGTATTATCATTAAAAGACAAATTAAAGTATTTGTTTTGATTATCCGAATTTTTCTTTATCCGGACTACCTTTATCCCCAATTAGTCCGAATAATCAAGGTTCTACTGTAATTTGATCATAGAAANAAGAGATGGCACCTAATGTCTATCTTTAGTATCAAATCACTTGGTATTAATCATTAAATTAGCGGAGTTATAGGCCGATTATTTAGGTGATCGTTTGGTCATGTTTCTATAATTATTAAAATGAAAATAATAAATAACAACATTTAAATTAAAATTATTTATCATTTTTTGTATTATTGCATTTTTTGTATTTTTTGTATTTGAAATACAAAAAATGATAAATAATTTTAATTTAATTTTTGATTAATGATTTATTATTTTGATGAAATTTTGTACATGATTGGGAAAAATTTTGGATCCTGAAAATATTCTGACCCGTTTTCAAAAGTTGTATTGCACCACATTACTTTTTGCTGCCTGTAGGTGGTTACACTTAGTTAAGAATATTGTCAGAAAAAAATCAACAAGGCAGCCAAGGAGGCAATTTTCCTGACTTTCCATGACTTTTTCCAAACACTAATAAAAATCCCTGATTTTCCTCAACTTTCCAGATGTGTAGAACCCTGTATAAATTATAAAGAAAAGATTTACTGATCAATAAATTAAAGCTTTCTCTATTGGTAACCTTAAGTTTGGCAGTGTTTTCTTGTATTAACTATGGTTAAGATTTGTTGATTTTATTGACACAGGAATAAGTCTTACCTAGCTGCAATAACAGGAATCCACGGTGTTAATTCATCGGAATGATTTCCGATTATCCAATCATATTCAGGAAATAACATTTTGTCAGAGGGTGTAATACTTTTCTCCTAAATCAATTATAAATAATTAGTACAAAAGAAGTTATTATAACTTTTTTAAAGTTATTAATGCTATAAAATATATTTAATAAAATCAATTTTTTTTAGAAGTTATTATTTAACATACCATAGTATATATATAAAATAATAGTAAATTATATCATATCTTTATTATGTAACATCAGTAATACCATGTTACATTAAAAGAGACACTGAATTGTCTATAACAGAACTAAAGGAGGCTGTGCAAGATAGAGAGGGTTGGAGTGCTTTGATCCATAGAGTGACTGAGAGTCGGACAAGACTAAATGGATAGGATAGGAAAATACCATGTTACATATAAAGATATAATTTAATAATAAAATAAACAAACTAAGCATATAAAAGTTTTTATTTTGCTTACTACACTTACTATAAGTGGTACTTTAGGCTCGTAAAGATCCCATATACTGCGCTTTCTTATATCTATTCCAATTCCTGAATGCTTATAAAAATAAATAATTGTAAACTGTCATATATTTTAATGCATATAGTTATTAAAATAACATATATTATATTTTGACAAGCTTTCATTTTAATTTACATTAATAAAGGGAAATTAATTTACAATTTAAATTTTATAGAAATTTAGTAAGTTACACGATTAAAAGAGAAACTCAAATATTCAATACCCCTTCTGATATTAATAGGTAAACAAGTAATCCATTTCCACATCCAAGATCAACAAATGTTTGTTTTTGAGAAATATTTTTAGTTTCTTTTTCCAGTTCAAATAGTGTCTGTTTAAAAACATAAAAGAAAACATTATTATACTCTTTTTACATAAAGTATTTTCTATAATTACATAAATTTTAATATTAAATAAACTAACTACACATAATTGACTTTATTTAATGTATTTAAAATTTTTATTCTTTATATTACAGGAAATCCTCGTCAGTTCGAAAATTCAAGGGATAAAATAATCACAACTTTGAATTATCTGAGATTTACATATTTTCATATAATATGCCAAATGCCGTGTAACTGATGTAATTTATTAAGCAAATGGAATACGGCTATGTATACAGAATGCTATTTTCATTAATTAATTAATAATAATATAAATAAATTGCAGGTAAACAGCACATGTCTGGTGAAAACCTCACAGGCTGTGGGATAGGTTTTATAAAACATAAAGCAGGATTCTTCAAAATGTAGCCCAAAAAATAGTAAGTCACCCTAATCTAGTAGCCTAGAGTCCTATAAATATCTCAATATGCTATTTGTAACTTAATGTTGCAATCCCAAAACCCAACTGTATTTTATGAGATAAGAGAAAAAGTATTCCGTCAGTAAGATGAAACTGAAAATGTGTTACTGTAAAAACAAAGTATGAGGCCCTGGAAAATAGTAAAAAAAAAAAAAAAAAAGATTTAAAGAGGAAAACATAAAATTTATTAAGTTAAACTGTCAAAAAAAAAACAAGTTATATATAAGTGTCGAGTCAGCAACACCAGATTTTGACATTGTCGCTCATAAAGAATAGTGGGAAAAACAAAATTTTAGTTAAAAAAAATTAAAAAAGAGCAATATTTAAAACTTAAGACACAATTTAATAAAACAAAACGAAAATATAATAGAATAGGAGTAGGTGTCATAGTTATTGATTAAATGCAATCAGAGTCTATGAGACAGTGTTGGATAGATCGTCCCTAGCCAACCTTTCCCACAACCTAAACGGATCACCATTTAAACCTAGAGACAGGTGAGAGATCAATAGGGAAGCAAGGAAAGAAAGGTTTGGTCAATTAGCAATGAATGATCCAAAAAAAGTTTAAGAACTCAGTCATCAAGGACAGAAGAGCTTCTCCAGTTCTCCTATTGTGATTGTGACTTTCTTCACATTGAACTTCCATTCAACTTTATCTTGTGCAGTTTTTCCAACTACAAACATTAACGTGATGCTGTCCTGGGGCCCCGCCAGCGTTGGACCTTCAGAATAGATTAAGAACATTCAGGAACAATTTGCGGACAAAGCCGTGAAACTTAAGATCATCAACAAAATTCTGTAAGCATGATCTAATAAAGTTTCTTTGTGAAACACTTGTCTCTTTCTGCCTCCTAAAACCGCCACCCACATACGTGTAGACCTTAGACCATCCCGACAGAAAGGAATAAAATCCCCTCATAATCAGAAAGCTTACAGTGGTATCTGAGAAGTGGGATTTTAAGTCCCCCAATCTCCACCAGGTCAGTGAACTTACAAAAGCCATATTGACCATATTCAAGTTGTTCTTGGTCTACTGTTCTCTTATAGCATGCAGGCACTTCAATGTAAACGAACGAGTTAACATACATGTATCAAAAACCAACAACTCGACACCTAAATGCAAATTCCAGCAAATAATGAAAAAATAAAATTTAATGTTGAAACATTTTCGGCCATCTTTCGGAGGCTCTTATCAGGAATGAATGCACGAAACACAAAAACACAGTTCTATCTTTTGAAAATTTCTAACTTTTGAACTTAGCTGTGTTCCAATTTTTAAATATTTAAATAATGTTCAATACAAAAATCATTATGTTTACATAATATAAATTAATTATTATTATATTATGCAGCAAAAGTTAGTCTGATGTTTTAACATTGTATAAAGATAAAAAAATAATTTATGAACAAATTAATAATTCTTACTATGTACTTTGAAAAATTCAAATTAAATCATACAAATAATTAAATAGGCCTATCATATAATTTTCCAGTCAATGCTAAGCATAAATTCACATAACAATTTTTTACATTTAAAGAATGCTTTAATTTAAGCATGTCTTTATCATAGGATTAGCATATACAATTACTGTGCAAACTCAATGTAATATGTTAATTAATAGAAATAAAAGTGAAGTTGTAACATCACAAACGACTATTTTTAGCTCGGAACCAACCATATGGAGTTTTCTAGGCTTTCTTCACAAGTCTAACAGATAAATAGGACCAGTTTCCAATAAAAGTCTTTCTAGGAGGCATCTTCCCCTTGGCCTATTGCCGCAATGCCTTATATCATCAATCCAATCAATCCAAAACGCAACTTAAAAATTACAAGTTAATTCAAAATTCTAATACAGACGAAAATGCTATTATTACTTATGCCACCTAAACTTTCAGTAAATGAATAACATAAATAATTTCAAAAATATTTGTAAATTTTTTCAAATTATAAAATATAATTGGTATTTTCTGATAACCTGCTATAACTAATTAAAATATAACAATAAACTTGATACTTACAAGTAAATATGAAGCAATTGCAATGTCTTCATATATATATTTTATTGGATCTGTATTCTCTGGCCAGATCTGAAATCATAAAATATGCATATTGTATTTTCTTAATGAAGCCTGATAATTTGCATATATACAGTAGAATCTCATTTTAATGGATTGCAGAACAACAGATTGCTTTTCCCAGGTCTTGCCAAATCAATGTAATTTTATCTCCTTTTAACAGATCTGTAACTTGGAATAACAGATATTTTTCTAGCTCCATCTATTGTAAATTTCACATTTTTTCAACATTTACTTAATATATGGGTGTTTCCAGGAATTTGTAGTTTGATGATGCACTTGTTACATCTGGATATATGATTGAAAAATTGTATGAAGAGAGTCAGCAAGCTAATATGATTGAGGAGAAACCACCTGGTGAATATTCTGACCATGTACATTTAGTGAGAACATAAAGCCTTTCCAAGTCATGAAGACCTTCCTGATGAGTTTCAGCATAAATGAACAGGTTGTACACAACATTGCCAATATCAAGCAGTTGTTGTATTCAATAGGTAGAAAAGTGGCATCAAAACAAACTAAGATGGATAAGTCTTTTTAACAAATCATGAAATCAAGTGAAGTGCAAATGAGCATACATAACTTGCCTCTTTTTTGAGCTTACAGTATACAGTATAGTTTGCTTTGTTGCACACATGTACAGCATAATATACAATCTTGTATCATATATGCTTTTATAGAATAAAGAATAGAGATATCAAGAGACTGAATAATTTCAAGTACAGATATTTCTTATATGTAGGGGGTTAGAAAACAAATTTTTTTGAATACAGGTAATGGATATTTTCCTGAATGTGTAGGAAATCTATTATTTACCATATAATAAATTAAACTTCACTCTGACACTGGGGATGAAATACTAAATACGGAACCTGTTACCGGTGTAATTTTGCGTGAAAAAATCTTTCTTTCACAAGTGTTTTTGAGCTGTCGAGATATAGCTCTTCCTCAGGTAGAGAAAAAATTCCGACGGAACACTTTGAAAAATGGAATGTAGTGTTCCGTCGGAATTTTTTCTTTACCTGAGGAAGAGCTATATCTCGACAGCTCAAAAACACTTGTGAAAGAAAGATTTTTTCACGCAAAATTACACCGGTAACAGGTTCCGTATTTAGTATACCATATAATGAACTCTTGGAACAATAGATGATTTTCAGCAGCCCAAGAGATCTGTTAAAATGAGATTTTACTGTATATTAAATCTTCTCATAACATCTTTCAAAAAAAAAAAAATATCTGTTTTATATGAAAGTTTGTTTTTGATGTAAAATCACACATAATATGCAATAAAAACATGACAACCTTATTTTTACTAGTTGTAGCATCATCTGGGCTATCAATTTTGTAGTCCCTTTAGAGTCTATCATTTTTGGCTCAGTGATTTTTTTGTAGAATATATATTTTTCAAATTACTCCAGTGATTGATTAAAATGGACCACTTAAGAAGAGTTCTAATGTGTAATTTCTACAATAATTACACATCATTAAAACCTTAAATCATCAGTAAAGAACTTTAATATACTTCATTGGTTCCCAATTAGTTTCAATTAGGGGTACACAAGTTTGAGCTCTTTCTTGAAGCGTACCACTTCAAGAAAGAGCTCAAACTCGTGTACCCCTTAAAGCAGAAATTCATATTAATCCATACTAATATTATAAATTTGAAGGTAATTCTGTCTGTCTGTTACCTTTTCACGCCTAAACCGCTGAACAGGTTTTAATAAAATTTGGCACAGAGCTTGCATGTTGGAGATGGACAAAGGTTACATTTTACTGCGAGAAAATATCTTACTCCCACGAGAAAATTTGATATAATGCGGGAGAAGCTGTGGGTGGTGATAGACAGCTAGTGATAAAATAAGTTTTTTTTACATTTATTACTTTATATACTATTCTAATAATAATGATAATAACATAAGGTTTTGGTCAGCTTCAGTTTCAAGTCATCTTTGAGTTAAAGTCGGTGATTATGTTTAGTTTTCATGTTTGTCATGGCTGAAAATCTGCTCTTGCAGAGGTATGTTGTGCAAAATGGTAGTAAATATTTTATTGCTGCTTCGCTGACATGATAAATGTCTTTTAGGTCAGCCCAAAAATTACCCAGTGATTGCTCTGCAAAACAACTCTTGAGTCTGCTGTTGCAAGAAATGTCTATTAATTTAATTCCTCTTGGTCAGAGATGGGAAGGTGGTCAGTGGAGTTATTTGCAACAGCGAAAAAAATTTTCAAAATTAATTTCGCGAAAACAAATTGTGTTAATTGTACAATTTTTGTTTCTTGTGTAAGAATTTCATTTAGGTATTGTCGCAAATGCATTTTTTTGATGAAATTTCAAGAATATTTTTAGTTATAAATAAACGAATTTGTGCATTCGGCATCATGTTGTAAATTGCCGAATTTTTGATGGTCCACCCATTATTTTTTTATTGCTTCATCTCATGCATTTAAATTTTAAATCAACCGATTTTAGATTGCCGCGTGTACCCCTTCATGCAATTTCGCGTACCCCCAGGAGTACACATACCACTAATTGGGAACCATTGATATACTTAATTTTCAGACAACCGTTTTCAATCTACTATTAAGATCATCTTCAGGTCTCTTTAACATTCCAGAATTGGAATGTAATAAAGAACAAAAATATATTACAAAAAAGGAGAAAAAACATTTAAAACATTTTTCAACTGTTTTGAATGCTTATATAATGGAGTTACTTTTCAAAAATTTGAAAAATGACTTCACCATATAAATTAATTAATCTATTAAAAATTATTAAGAAAAAAACTTATTCTAATTTGAAAACATATATAAAAAATCTTTCATCGTTAATTAATAATGTCTCATACCTGTTTATCTGATTCAATATTAAGATAATGAGCTGTAAGAATGGAAGCTGATTGACTGATTGATCAAGCCCAAGCATAGGTATCTCTTGTACAGTCCAACATTACTTCTACAACACAGTTTGAAAATTGGGATATCCCCTGTACCACATAACTTCTGGTTTCACTCTAACACAGTTTTGGAGATCCTCTGTACAACATTTTATGATTTTTAAGTGCTAACTTCGTTATTTGATATCCTTTTTATCAAGTAAGCATGTGCATTGTCTCAAATTTGACCATAAATTTTAGAATACTGAAATTTTCAATTATTTTGAGCTTTTCGTCAGGTTTATAGGACAAGGAAGAAAAAAATTGCACTAACTTTCCTATCAACCAGGTGTTATTGTCATTGCTTTCAGTCCTGAAGACTGTTACTGTGTTTTCCTTTTATAGATTAATCTTTGTATTTAGTAAAGTTTATTTAAACATTTTTAGGTCAGGGTTATTTTAAACTTTTTTAACCATTTACCTATGAATGATTACTTCATTTGTAAAATAACAAAAAAAATATGGTGGTAATTAATGTGCTTTCTTACCACACCGGGTTGTATATACTCCAAACCAACAACTACCTACAATTAACCAATAACCGGTGCGAAATTCTTTAAAATCGGCGAACATTTTCGATTCCCCTCCTGGGATCTTCTTCAGGCTTACTTCTTTATAGCTTTCATTATAACCGGATTCTTTAATTCGAATCTAATTCGAATTAAAGAATTAAAGAAACGTTCGCCAATTTTAAAGAATTTCGCACCGGTTAATGGTTAATTGAAGGTAGTTGTTGGTTTGGAGTAAATATGGTGGTATCTCAGTACTCAAACAATTTGGTATTCCAACACAAATTCTGGAAAAAAGTCACTCGGTACTCAACTGAACAAACTTTTGATTAATAACATGTTTGTATTTTGTCATCCAGAAAAATTTTTTATGATAAAAATAAAAAATGTGAAAATGTTGCTGACACTTCTGATCAAGATCAACAAAAAAACTGAGATGACAACAATACTGTGTAAAAAGAAAACATCCTCATTTTAACTAAAATTAATATTAACATGTAATATAGTACTTTTCATTGTAATTGTTAATTAATTATTGATTGGAAATAAATTATCAATTGCTTTAATAAACATATTTCTCTTAGTAATGAAAAAGATTAGTATATTTTTGCTAACTTCTGGAATGTAACCCTATGTTTTGCATTAGTCCTTTGTTTCGTATAGCATGGATTCATATAACATGGCACTTTTTCAGAATGTAACTGTTGTGTTATACCAGGGATACCTGTACATTTACTGAGCATACAGTTAATTGTAAGAAAAAGACATTGTGAATAGGTTTATGCATAAAAATCACTGTTGTAGATAAATCTAACAATATTTATACATATGTAAAGAATGTGATTTATTTATCTTTGTTTAACTATTGGAAAACTGCAAGAATCATTAAGTTAATGTTCTGTTAGATAGAAAACTCTTTCAATAGAAGTTGCAAAATTCAGTTCAAAAATTTTAGAAGAATAAAATTAAAATTTTATAATTCATCAATAATTTTACATTAATATTTTTAATAATTTCCTTTATCTTTAGAGTTAAATAAAAATATACAAGTGTAAATATCTGTACAAATACCAACTCTAAAACCATCTAATGCAGTAATAAAACTATCTTAATTCAAACATTTTCAATTGTCTTAAATGATCTTCAAGAAAAATAAATTCTAGAAGAACAAAAGCCTAACAGCTTTTCTAGAATGTACAAGGTGTGTTCAAAAAGTTCAGGGACTATCACTCTAAATCAATTACTTTTAACTTATAAGATATTTACGTAGGATCTTCTTCAAAATAGGCCCTTTCTGTTGCTATACATCACTAATATGTCTTCTTCCAATCCTCAAATGCTGCAGCATACACTTTGCTTGAAATGTCATTTAGTGCTTTCAGCAATTCGGTCTGTATCTGAATTCTTGATACAAAAATGTCATCCTTTCAATACATGTTTCAAACACAGGAAGAGGAAGAAGTCTGCCGGTAACAAATTGGATGAATAAAGTGGTATTAGAACAGTGGAAAGAGTATTGTGCTAATAGGATGAGTAATGCTATGTGTGGCTAAGCATTATCATGATGAAG